CCAGCCAGCCATGAGTTGAAGTCCACTCATCTTAAAGTGGCCAAGTTTGGACAACACTGACTTAGAGAAAAGCAAAGAGAGAGTTTCCTGTATCTCTTTCCTGCCACCTAATAGTGTCCTGGAATTTTGCTGGCTAAATCTGATAGCCCCAATGAAACTGTAACATAATTGAAGTTGGAGATACCAGCTGCATTGCTGTGGCTTCCTGTTCTCCAGCTACCGGCTGTTTTTGCACCGTTGAAGAAATTTCAGGACTTTTAATAACAGGCGCATTCTTCAAAGTACGACATATGGGCAGCGCTTGGCATGAAGGGGTTACCTACTGTTTACTCAAACAAATCTCTCTGCTTTGCACAACATGCTGAGCAACAATCTGGCCAACTACATTTTAGTCTGGCATGTTATGGAAAGCGGAACACGGGATTAGTTTATAGCTCAGGGTATTGTAGAAATCCCCAAAACTGAATCAAGTAAGCTATGATTAATTAACTATGAATAATGAGTCACACAAGGTCTAAACCCAGTCTTATAACCAGAGGGTAATTAGATAGACATGTATATGGTTAGAGTTGTATATATGACAATCCCATTTTTTTAAAAGAACAAATTGGTATTTATTCTCAAGTAAATAAGTACTATATGGAAACTCTTTGATTTGTGAGGTTGTGATCTTACTACCATTGTTTAAAATGCAAAAATTGTATGTACTAATCTTAAAAAAAAACCCTGGGATCGTTTCATTTTGCTTCTATTTGAACTTATTAAATTATCCCAGGCAATTAAGCCTTGTCTAAAAGTGTTGGCAGCTTTTAGAAATGACTAAATAAGGCACACTTCCTGTTAGAGAAGAATGGAACAAGGGACTGGAACACCCCCTTAATTTGTTCTGCTTTCCTTGACTTCAGGAAACAAATATTTTTAACAATTAAAAAATAATAATGTTTTTTTCCTGGAGCCTTCAGTGCCTTTTCAAGCAAAGGAAACTACTTCCAACAGCAAAGTGACAATTCTCCCTCTTGACCCATAAAATGTCCTGCTCCATCACGGCCTCTTTCAGGCCTGAGGTTATGATATCTTGTTCTAGAGGGCAAAATGTGCAGATGTGTGTATATTTTTAAATTCTATCCCTCCTTTGGGGTGGCTAATTGATGTAGCTCATGGGAATATCAAGGCTGTTGGCATGACCCAAGGAGCAGAACGCAGCATTAACCAGAAAATACGTACTAGTCATGGTCTGCCAGTCCCCTTTCTTGGCTGATATTTATCTTGTAAATTAAAAAAAGTATGACCGGCCCGTTGGGGTTAGAGTCACCCTGTGTGGGATGGGTTTTAAGATTCGATAAATAAAATGCTGAAAGCTAAAAGAGAGTCCCTTTGCTTTATATCTGGAGGCCAGAAGGAGAAATTAACTACTGGGGGAGTTAATTCCCCATTTGAGTTTGAGTGACATGTTTGTATATGGTAAAAATTAGGTAACCTGAAACATAACAGGTCAATGGTATGTGGTTACGGCATTCATCTCAACCACAGCCTTGAATTTTGTTTCAGGGTAGGACTGCACACTTAGCCAAACCACAATTCAGCTCAGCTCCTTCTGCAGACCTGCTCACGACTGCTAAGAGGCACGTCCTGCAGCAGTGAAAGGAGAACTTGATCATTTCGTAGAAAACATTACACATGGGTTCTCACAGCATCTCCCCCTGGGCCTGGTATGGACCATGGATAAAACACCCGGTGATCCAGCACCAGCAACCCTTTAAACCAACCATACTGTAGCCTCAGCTTGCTATGTCAACTGCTACCCTGACAGCCTTCCAGCTGCTTTTGTGAGGGCTTTATTTCCTGTCTTTATTTTTTTCAGTTTCCAGGATTTTTTTTTTTTTACTCTACAGCTTGAACAGAAGGAGTTCAGTAGTACTTTTTCAGAGCTCGCAGTTCACAAAAGCTTACGCCTTTTAATAAAATGCGTCAGCCAGAAAAGACGCTACCAAATTCCTTCTGATTTTTTGCTACAATAGACTAAGATAGCTCTCCTTCAACAGTGGCTTGAACAGGGTTAACACTTATCTTAGTTTAGGCTGCTCTAACTCTCTGTTTGTATACCTAGAAGCCAGAAGAGAGGATGCATCTCAAAATATCACACACAAAATAATACACACTGCTAGATGCAGACAAAATAAGGAACCCAGGGAAGGAACCTAACTGTGATCTCAACCTTGGCAGCTTTATGATGTGTGGACTTCAACCCCCAGAATTCCTCAGCCAGTATGTATGTTAACAGATCAACATTCAACATATATCATCATTAATACTGGATATGCTAAAGCAGAGATGCACCATTTGAAATCCCAGCCCCTGAAAGTCTGGCTGTGGCTTGCAAGAACGTCCAAAAGTTGTTGCCAAATTGTAATGTTTAATGGAGAACTATTACATATACAAATGCTCAGTGAACATATTAACACTTATTTTTAATTTCATGGAAATTAAATGTGCACAGTTTAGGGTTTATCCTGGATCCACTGAATACCTTTTACGATGCAGCCCCTGGCAGCTCTCAGCCTAGAAAAAACCGTACACTCCTATATTAAGCTATGGTTTGCCTACTTGTGGTTTATCACAAAAACTAGAATCGGCTGCATTCACACAATTTGAATGTTGTCTGACCAGGAAAACATCCCACCCAGGAAGAAATTGTAAGATTTGGTAGATGGTGTTTGGTTTCAAAGGGACAAAGGGGGATCTTGTTTGACAGGTGGCTTGAATGATTTTTACAACAAAGGAGGACATGATGCACCAGCTGCCTCCCTACCTGGACTGGGTTAGACAGATCTCAGCAATCCATGCCCTAATAACCTCACGACTGGATTCCTACTACAGAGCACTTTACAGGGGGCTATCATTAAGGTCATCCAGAAGCTGCAACTGGACAGAACACAGCCATCTGACTACTTGGGGAGAGGGCTAAACAAGACGACATGACACCAGTACTGTAGAATTGCACTACTGCCAGCTCTCAGTTTGTAATGGCACATGGGAAAGGCCTTGGGAGATAGGAGGAAGAGCTGCAGACTAGACAACAGTCAGATAAGAGGCAGCTGAGCACACTGAAAGAATGGGAGTGTGGCAAACATCTCAGAAGGGACCCTCCCTAGTTTCTTGGACTGTAAAGGCAAGGGGGAAGAGATGTACTTTCAGACTTGTACGATTCTGTTAATGTAATCTTACAATAAAGTTAGAGCTAGTACTTCTGGGTGGGCTTCTCGTATGGACTATCTCGCAAGGCCGACAGAGTTCAAGGTTTTATCTTCCATTTATGGAGCAAGTGGAACTGCTCAGGGTCCAAGTTTTTATGAGACTCACTTCTCCAATGTCATGTAAGCTACAGGCTAACATCGGATAGAGACGCCCTGTTCTTGGTCCTGTAGGTGGATCTGTCTTGCAGTGGGATGATTAAAAGCAAAGCCTTTTCAATGACTGATTGCAACATTCCAGCTCAGGAGCTCTCTTCTGTGAGAGACACAATCTTGCTTCAAGTGACAAGTGAGATTTTTGTTCATTCACACATTTGCACAATAGCAGTCTGTCACGGGACATAGACTGTTCTTTGTTTTAATGAACCTTA